GGAGCTGCAGAGCTTGCAACATCCTTGTTGCCTTCTATCACGTCCATTTCCTCTGGCACTGCTGCTGCTGGGTGAGACTGTCTTTACCAATATCTGCTGCTGCTGCTGCAGCCTCTGGAGCAGCAGCAGCAGCAGCAGCAGCAGGAGCAGCAGAAGCTTCTTCTCGTTGCCGCTCAGCTGCCAGCAGCTTCTTAGCTGCTGCCTTGGCTGCTTTCTCTCCTGTTCGTGCTGCTGCTGCAGTTGCTGCAGTTGCTGCAGCTGCTGCAGCTGCTGCAGCTGCTTCAGCAGCAGCTGCTGGTTTTGCTTCTCTCCTGGGGCTGACGGATCTTTTCTTTGGCTTTACGCCGCCGTCTCTACCCAGGCTACGCATGAGGCTGTCTCGCTGCTGCTGCTGCTGCTGCTGCTGCTGCTGCTGTTGCTGCTGCTGCTGCTGCTGCTGCTGCTGGTGTTTGCTGCTGGGTGAGTCTGTGAAGAGGTGCATGTCCGTGACGGGTGTGCCTGCTGCAGCAAGAGCTTCTCTTTGCTGCAGCAGAACCTTTTTATATTCTTTGAGTGCTGCTTCTGCTGCAGCAGCACCACTGAGGCCGCGCTGCACTGCAGCAGCAACAGCAGCACGCCCCCACGCCTGCAGCTGCTGCAGCTCCTCCTCTCGTGTGTCTCCCCAGGGGTTGTCGGGGTCAGCAGCAGGCAGCGATAGATCTGCTTTCTCTGCTAGTGCTCTGATGTCTGCTGCTGCTGCTGCGCCCCATACACGTGCTGTCTCCTCAGGGTCTTCTGCTGCACCTGCTGCTGCGCCTGCTGCTCCTGCTGCTGCTGCTGCAGCTGCTGCTGCTGATGCTGATGCTGGGACTTCCAGTCCTGCAGCAGCCAGACCCGTAGGGCCACCAGCAGCAACAGCAGCTGCAGCAGCAGCAGCAGCAGCAGCAGCAGCAGCAGGAGAAGGGCCGCTGCGCGGCCAACCATATGGCTGGGCTGGTGGCGGCGGCTGCATTGGTTGCTGCTGCTGCTGCTGCAGCAGCTGCTGGTGGTGCAGCATTCTGTGTTGCGGCTGCAGCTGCTGCTGCTGCAGCAGCTGAGGTCTGTGCTGCTCTTGCTGCTGCTGCTGCAGCAGAGACCGAGGGGTTGTCTGCCTCCAGCTCGGGCTCTGCCAGTGCGAAGCAGAATCAGCAGCAGCAGCAGCAGCAGCAGCAGCAGGTACTGCTGCTGCTGCTGCTGTCGGTTCTAATGACCTCGTGCTGCAGTCCGCTGGCACTGCTGCTGTTGCTGCTGCTGCTGCTGCTGCTGCTGCTGCGCTGCGGACCGCTGCAGCAGGAGGAGAGCGGCTCGGGGCCCCCCACCCCCCTGAGCTGGCTGAGGGCCCCCGCACATCCCAACGGCCTCTAGACCGCACCCTTGAGCTGCTGCTGCTGCTGCTGCTGCTGCTGCTGCGACCTCTGCTGCTGCTGCGTCGGCTTCTGCTGCGGCTGCGGCGGCTCCTGCTGCGGCTACGGCGACCCCTGCTGCTGCTGCGGCTTCTCCTGCTGCTGCTGCGGTGGCATCTGCTGCTGCTGCGGCTCCTTCTTCTGCTGCTGCTGCTGCCTCGATCCCTCCACCTGCTGCTGCTGTGTGAGTCGATTGAGCGGCTGTAGCTGCTCCCTTGCTGCTGCTGCTGCTGCTGCTGCTGCTGCTGCTGCTGGTGCAGCGGACGATAGGGGGAGGCCTCAATTGCTGCTGCCTCCTCAGGCCCCACATCAAAGCCCCTTCTGAACCGGCTGCTGCTGCTGCTGCAGAGGCTGCTGCTGCTGCTGCTGCTGCTGCTGCTGCTGCCACGTGGGGTTAGACAGTCCCAGCCGCTGCTCCTAGCCCCCTGGCTAGTGCTTCTGCTGCT